TTAAGTCGAAATTCCCTAATTTCATTTTTACAGTAAATACCTCGAGATGGATAGAAAATTCAGTAAAACGGTCATAACTCTTGATAGAAGAAGCAGGAACCCAAATCCTTTTAGGATATTTACTATCTCAATATGCTCACTTAAATGAGATATAAATGAATCAAAACGGGAGGTTACACCTCGGGAAGTTCCCTCGTTAATATAGAGGAATATCATGTAGATAGTGAAAAACTGAATCTGAGAAAGATAATCATAGGAGTGTATGAGTGAGAAATGAAATGCAAACTGACATCCTAATTTTTACTGACAACTTGATTCACAGTCTAAGAAAAATTGTTTGAGAAATTTTATTTACCTTCAATCACTTGAGCATCATATGCTTTTGTAGCTATATTTTCATTTAATCCTAAAATAAAACAAAATAATTTGCTTTTAAAATATAAATTTCGATAATTTTTACTTAATCGTCCTCGATAATTTCTATAATTATATTTATTATTAATATCAATCGATGAATTTGTTTCAGTATGAATTATATCAATAGCATCCACAATACGATTAAGATCAAATAAATTTGAATAACGTACAATTTTTAATAATTCACTCATTGACATTAATGTTAATCGTACATTTGATACAATATTATCAAATGGTTTCCATTGATCTTTTTGATTCATATAATAATAATCATGCCAATTTTTAACAGCATAAAATATATCGATTTCAGCACAGTAAAATGAATCACGGGCAATAATAGATGAGAATGCTTCCTAAAATTTTACAACAAAATATTTTATATTATCACATTAGATTTTATTGATAGGAGATTTTTCTTCTTGTTTTCAGAGTCCAACGATCATCTGTCTTGGTCAATCTTAGTCTTATTTCAAAGTGGTGGTTTATTTTCTTCGTTAGAGTCAATATCGAAAATGTTTTATTGATCTAAATTTTTTAGAAACTTTCAAAGATTATATGATAGATGATATATGGAATTAAAATTCCGTGATTTTCAGTTTTCTTTGTATATTTTGTTGTAGAATTGAATTTCAGTTCAATCGTAATAATTTCAATGAATGATCAATTGGCATAAAATTTTTTTTAAATTTTATTCGAAACCTGTATATATTGTCTTTAAAGCCTTCTAATTGTTATGATCATCATGAAATAAAAAGGTACAATCCCAAAAAGATTTTAAAAATGAAATAGATCACAGTATTGTAAAAAGTTACAATCACACAGAGATCTGCTCCCTATCCTGATTTGTTAGTAGGCCAACAGTCGAAGTATTTGAATAATTTGACTTCTTAGATTGTTGTTGTATAGGTTTATTAACAAAGAATAAGCATAGGATTCGGATATTTTCATGCTCGAGCAGAAAACATGCCTTTGACTCTTACATATTTATATTGACTGTCTGGTTAATAAAAAATAAAATTTGAAATGATCAAAATTATCTGAATTCTATGTTTCAAGTCAATATTATTGTTCTGTATAACGAATATACATTCTTGTTGTTAGGATCATCGTACAATCATCAGCAAAAAAATGAAAGTCAACTATAGACAAGAAGTCTCTGATGTCATGATGATACGAGACGAAGTAACATCAGAATAAAAACTTGAGTTGTGAAGGTTGTCGTGTCGAATTGGAAACCAGCTTGACATCCTTTCATATATTTCAGCTATACCTCGATGATGAATTATATATGCTCTTATTCATATCACATATATTATTTCATCCAGAAATACCAACAATGACAAAGTAAATTTTGTTATTCGTAAGATAATTGGAAGTGATTTCTTCGGAGAGAAAAACTTATCAAAAAAAAAAAAATCAGTGTTGGGAAGTTCAGAATAATATGTTCTAAATATGAGTGTCATGCATTCAAGTCTAGAAGTACACGTATGATGTAAATACTCATTTTGTTCTTTTCGCTTTTTCTCATAACATGACGCGTCAGTCATAGACATAGCACATGCTCATATGAGAATGATCGATAGAGAATAATAATCAACTATATAAGATTAAACCATGGCTTTTTCTTTCATGATGCCAAAAAAATGTATTCAAGTGGAATATTCAAATGAAAGATCCGTAAGTCACGTGGTCCTACTACTGCCCTCCTCTCTGTCTTCACAGAATGGTGCTACAATTTTTTCGATGATGAAGCATTCAGATTTAAAATTTAACTCTTTACCAGGGTTAGTCTTAGAACAATTTCTTTGTCGATAAATATATGTAAGCATATTTCTAGAAGCCTAATCTTGTTCCAGAAAAAGACATTTTGTTTTGTAATCATCGTAAAGGATTTGTAATATTTTGAATCAGTTTTTTTACTTCTCCTTTAGCTAAGGTCTATAGGACTGAGCTTTTGTGTAATACGATCTAAAAGAAGTGTTGAAACATGTATGATAAAAATTTGCATTTACATATCGATCATGACATATGACTTAACAATGTGTTCTCTCTAAGTCACAAACACTATTGATATGCGATCAAAGATCGTATATTAATAACATCTTGTTATAATTTATGAACTACTTTCTTTTTGCATTTCTGAAGGAATACGTAAAAGAATAGTGAAGAAATGTATTTGAAACCAAAAATAATAAAACAATCGCTCTATGATTAACAACGGCAGCTTTATCGTAGTTCACATTTTAATTCTGTAGACATTGTGCTAACAATTCTTCAGAGGATGTGTCGTAACTTAACATACATTTGCTTTATTAAAAAATAGACTAAGAAATATACTCAAGTCTAGAGATATAAACATTTTTATTGTTCGAATAATGTCACTAATGAATGAAATTACCCATATATGCAGTAATTATCGTTATATGAAATACGCCAAAATTCTTTTTTGAAATATTTAAAAAAAAAACGAATTGTTTTGAACTCATTTATTTTCATTTTAGACTTTCATTTCGAATTCAACTAGATCTTTCTATATCTTATAGACATCGATTTTTATTTTATATTCAATCAATATTGATATGAAAGGTATGTGTAAGTGATTTCAACTAAAACTTCTTTTTAAAGTTGTCAAACAAATTATATCTTGTGTGGTTTCTTTAGAAGATATTCAGTTATTATTTCATCTGATGATGTTTATAGAATGAAATCAGCTATTAAAATCAATAGAAACACTTGAAACTGATTTAGTTTTGCAGATATGATGTACTTTGTCAAGTTTTGTTTTTCTTGGATAATTTTTGAAAGTCTTTCAGAGCATTATCGCTTTTCTATTGTACTAATTTCACAAAACCATTGAAAAATATCTGTAACATAACCTTTACCTAACATTTTGCATGTCAAATTTAATTTCTATTTTTCATTTTACAACTATCGATGACTAGAATTTGTCTATTATTTAAACTATTTCTATATTTCTAATATCTCTAAGCATGAAAATTTATTCGTGATGCTTTGTCTACGATGAAACCTACTGACATTTTATTTATCCGTAAACAATCAACTGACTTTATAGAATGTCATATTTTAACGGTTCATATAACTTAGTATTTCGATCGTATAAGACCTTCATGTACAAAAACAATAAGCAAACGTCTTTTGTTCTCGTTAGTCACCATTGTTCTTTGTAACCAACATGACGACATATGATTAACATGTTGAACTATGTAAAATGTCATATTTCTTTGAGTGGGATCGTTTACAATTCTATTTGTTTAATTGAAATGTTGGAAAATTTTATTAAAAAAAAAGCCTTCTCGTAAATTATGTTTTTCTGCAGAAGCAAGGCGGTAACAGATGCTTATCAAATAAATAATAGCAAGGTGGCATAATAGCTGCTTCATAAATTTATAATTCACACCCCTGATCTCTTATATATATATATAACAGTACTGTATTATTTATAATAGTTCAGAGAAAGTTTACTGTAGGTGTATTAGTAGGTTTATAATGAATAATTAAGGTCTATTGCAATGAGTCAAATAGATTTTTATTATTCTTATTAACATTATGCTTTTTGAATATTGCCTTCGACTTTTATAACAATAGAAATACATCTTTTATGAAAGTAATTCTTAAAATTTTGTTGACTTATTTCAATAATACTTATTATTCGAATACAAGTTATCATTCATATAAGAAAACTTACAGATGATAATGCAAAAAATTCATTTGTTTTAATTATTTCTTTTGCATGATTATCAATAAATAGGGCACAATGTTCTCGAAGATTATTTAATTTATAAAGACAAGCTGTATCATATATAATACAAACATTATTTAATGATAAAATTGATTGTATATATATTGATAAACTATTTTCAAGTTGTTCAAATCCATATTGATGTACAAGACCAAGTAAATCAAGTAAAATATCTTCCTAAAATAAAGAAAATTTAAATTTATATATAAAAAAAAAAAAATTAAAATGAAAACTTTACATTTTCTTTAGTTAAACTAATTTGTCCCGTATAAATATAATGTAAAAGAATTTTAAATGCAGCTGCTTTACATTCTTTAATTTCTATTGTACGACTATCATATTGTGATTCACGTAAACCACCGTAAAGTAATGCTCGGAAGTATTCGGAACGAACAGCAAGTATAGCACGATGAGCATAAAAACGTTCAGATTCGATAATTAATTCAATATCACTATAATCGAATTGATTGTATAATTTTCCTAAAAAATATTATAAATAATCATATTTCATTTTAATTAAAATGAATATTTATTTTAAATAATATCAGAAAAAACTTAAAAATTAAATCTCATTTTACATCAATGATATTTAGTAAATAAAAAAAAAAAGAAATAGGTCAAAGATTATTAAGAAAAACAAAAAACAATAGCCTAACGTGTTCTCTAACATAATCAATAATTACAATAGCATTACACGTTTTCTTGATTAATAAATACTCAAATACTAGCGAGTAATCAATAATTGAAAAATAGAATATATATGAGAAGTTCTTGGCACAATGAGTAAACAACATAAGCCTTTCATTGTGAACATAGAATCATATAATTATATGTTTGAGCAAATATTATGAATGTTTCTATGAAAATAAATTGATCATGGAAATAAGACTCATTCCCATAATTACGAAAATATATTTATAATATTTAATAATCATAATGAATAGACTGATAAAACGATAGAAGAGAAATTAGAATTTCTTTTGATAATTATAGAAAATTCTAAAATACAATCTTGTCTTTTTTGCTTGACTTTGAAATAGAGTATCATTAGATTATACTCATGAAATTCTTTGTAGACGTGCTACATTTGTGAAATATGCTTGTTAGTCTGGATATATCTAATCCAAAGCCGAATATTCTAGCATGTTTGATTATAAGAATGTAATTCTATAAGATATTCTTCGACAAGAATTCTCAGCTTTCAATGCAATGAACATCAAATCAAACGAGTTTCAAACATAAATAAGAAACACTAATAGTACTGATATATACACTTGAAGAATCTATTCGAACAATATAATAAAATTCTGATGGAAATTCGTTATTTATTAATTTATGTAATAAATATGTTTATTTCGTTCGATAAATATATACAATAGATGTATAAATGATTGATACATAATCCATATGGAAGAATCATCAAAAATTGTTTTGTTTTTCTTTAGATTATATATATATTAACTAACTAATTACTGTATATGTAGATGAATGAGATAAATATAATCTAACGAAGTATCTAAAACTGTCTTTTGTTTTCGTTAGATACATATCAAAAAGTACGTAAGCACAAAAATAGATCCATTCGAAATTACTTAATTTTAATATCGTTGAAAACAAAGTAGAAGGAGATAAAAGAAAACTTATTAATAAAACTATCATTTTTAATAATTCACATACCAAAATCAACTGGAAGTGCTGATGTATGATTTATTTCTCCTAATCCTTCTGATATTTCATCTGATTTCAATCTATGATTTGTATTATTTGTTGCTAAATTTGACATCTTATATTTTCCTTGATAATTCTAGTTCAATAAAAATACGTGATACTTTTATTGAACTAGAATTATAGAGTTTATTTATAAGTATTTAACTAATCCGATTCTAAGCACGATGGGTACATATTCAATTTTCGTCAAGTCTTCGTTATCTGTATATAGGAAAACGTATGTCATAGTGACATCTAATATTTCATTACTTGTTTGGTTATGAATTTT